GACAGGCATTTCAAACCTCTCCTTTGATCACCGCGCTCATCTTAAAAGCAGCCAGCAGTAGTCTGAACTTTTGATGTCTGTGTTTGAGGTCAACCCCTTTTGATTGTCATGTGATTAAAGACCATAAGCTGGCTGCTAAATAATAAACAGTATTTTAGGGCTGGTGGCAGGATCATGTTGAAGTAATTTTGCTGAATGATTTCTGAATGATGCTGTCCAGGAAAAAACAAATAAATAAAATTATCTTGCCTTTTAACATTCAGTAATCACATTAAAAGCTTTACAGGCTGCAGACTGTGAAAAGCAAAGCAAAGATAAGCAGCAGAAGAACAAAACATCTGATTTTCCAGCTTACGTGGATGAAGAGATTACAGGACAATGGAGTACTAAGAATGCACAAAAAACAGTATGTGGTGTCTTTCAAAAGCACACATGATAGTATTGTTGCATCAGTCTAGTACTGTCGTATCACTTTCTGCCATTGTTTACATTCACAGTGGATGATAAGGAAGGAGGACAAAAAAATCCCCAAAAATCTAATCAGACAATTTAATCAACGTCACCCAGCTGGACATTGACATCTTAAAGAAACTAAAAAAAAAAAAAAGGTAAAGTGGCCTGAGTTAAAACTAGTTAGAACTCAGAGCCACTCGCAAAACAACAGCCTCAAATGAAATAGGTTTATATCCTGTTATTTGATCAATTTACAAACTCTGATGTAAGTTTAATAACTTAGTTTGTTATGAGAGTATTTTGCATTGAATCAAAGTTTATTCTATGCGCTGGGAGTTATTTAATATTGCACAACAGAATATAAAAGGGTGAGTATTTGTTTAAAATAGCTGGTAATGCTTATAACACATGTAAACTGTACACATCCTCATAGGAGTCGAGTGCAGTTGTCAGAGGAAGTTGAAAGAGTAGGTTCACTGTACTGGAAGTACATAATCATAAACCCTGATTTTTATTTATCTTGAATTTTCTTCTTAACTTTTGCTTCTTAAAATCCAGTCTCACTCAGAGTCTTGACTGAGTTCAATTCTGCTGTAAACTCCAAAAGCCCTGATACAACAGATACATCTTTTTGTGTCCAACGATGCTGAGAGAACAAGGTGAACAGTGTTGGTTTGTCTTCAGAAAGATAAAACTGTAGCATTATCCTCCGGCATTCTTGGCCTGCTAACTATGAGCTGGTGCCCACACTGCCTATCAAGCCTCATTCCAGGCATATTTCCTAGGAGGGTGAGAAATAGTAGACAAGTAGCTCCAACAAAATCTATACTTCACAGATGATCATAGCTATTTCACTGACTATTAAATTAATTCACTACTGAGGTTCAGGTTTGCTGCTTTTATAAAAACAACGATTAACCAAGAACACTCAGACTTCTTAAATGTGAAGATTTGATACATTTTTCCAATATCCATGTTTTGTTGTGTTGGTTAGACAAAATAAGCAATGTGAATATATCAACTTCAGCTTTGAGAAGGCCATTCTATGTACTAACTAAATAATCTCTAGTTGCAGCCCTACTGAAATAACCAAGAGTTCACGTTATCTTTGCTCCCGTGTGCCTTTCTGACACTTTGCTTTCAAAGCATGCGAGGCAGAGCCTTCAGTTACCAGTTATCAGTTCCTCTTTGGAACCAACTCCCAGTTTGGATTTGAGAGACAGACACCCTTTAGATTTTTTAAGAATAGGTTTGAAACTTTTTGATGAAGTTTATAGTTGAGGCTGAACCAAGTCACCCTGAATTATCACTTATTTATGCTACGATAAGCTTGGGCTGATGCAGGACTTTCTGCCTGTCTGACAGAAATACTTGAACAAATTAACAATTGATCAACTCAAAAAGAAACAACCAATGTTTCTAGTTTCTTACATACAGATTTTGGTCTGCTGCTTAAATAATGCAGCCTGAAGATTTAATGTTGTCCTTTGAGAAAAGAACAACCTAAGAAAACTGTTTCACTTTTTTCCTCTATGTCGTCTCAGGACTCACAGTGAGCTCCTAATCATTTAGTTTGGAGGTTAATGTGACATAGGTGACGTAGATAAACGGTCTTGTATGACAGGCAGTGACAGACCGTGTCTGTTTCAGAGGTCAAAGTTCACAGCTGATTATGTCCCACTGTTGCCGATTATCACTGGGACGTGTAAATACTTTAACATCCTTTCACTGGTTTCACATTTTCTTCTTAAACACAAAGTTACTTAAAGGTTCCACAGTGTCACACAGAGAAAACATGCGGTTTCCACACAGCTGCTCTAATCCACTCATCTCTCTGCGTGCAGGTAAGCTTTTATTTTTCACCTATTGTTATTGCTGGGCATCATTTTTGTGTGACAATGGCTGTGTTGATGGATTGCTCTGTGACGGGAGGGGGGCCGTGTTTGGGTCTGCCTGGCATCCTGCCATCGACTCAGCCTCTTACAGTTCCTACTCTGGCATCATCATCGATAATAGTAAATGTGACAGAAAAACGGAAGCCTCTTCACTACAGTGTCAGCGGGTTTCAAATCACAGAAGCCTTGGAAAGGATGGCTGATGAATTGTGCAGTTTGCAAGTGTGGAAAAACACAGGTATACAGTGTGACCGTTTGTTACTGTTAACAATAAGTGACAGCTATCTGTTAATCTCTTATTATAAACAAAACAGGGTTGAAGAATTGGATGAATGCTTTAGTATTTATTGGACAATTCCTTTGTGTTATTTTTGTACCTGCTTCGTACTTTAACACACAAAGAAGAATGCGCCTCATTTCTTTTTGTTGTATTAAAGGAGAAAGGAAGGCTGAACACAGACAAGAGTGGAGCTTATCTTCATGTAGAACTATTAATAGTGAACGTAATATTGTAACTACTGCTACTACTTTCTGAGCTAACAAGCGATCCTTGAGCCCATGCTAGGTAAGTCAGCCACGGTCTGCTAGCATAAAGTTTGGACACAAGATGGCCAGAGCTTTTGTATCTGAAAAATGAAGCTAATGTAAAAAGTCCCATAATATGAATTCTAATGGCCAGCAGGGGTCGACTCCTCTGGTTGCACAAGTCTAATTGTACAGAAGTCTATGGGAAGGCATGAATTTGGCTCAGTTGATCGATGACCTCAGTAAACACATTTCAAATAAGTTTATGGTCTCATTTAATACAACATGACACCTTTTTCTTAATCATTTCCCCCAGTCAAAACAGGGGTAAGTCAAAAAGAAGGATTGATTAGTCACTACAGGATGAGCATGCAGTGCAGAGATCTATCAAGTCCTCATCAGGATTCAAAGACACACACCAAGGTGCTCAATATGCTAATCAGGCCATTGATTTTTTTCTTAGAAAAATCAGTCGCTTTTCTGTCATTGTTTTCCCAACATCTCACCAACGAGTAGTTACAAAAAGCTTTCCTTCTCCTTGAGCCTAGTCCTACCACAGAGTATTTCCTGTTAAAGAGAAGTTCTTCCTCTCCATCATCGCCAAATTCTTGCTCACAGGGTCTCAGATTGTTGCCCATCTAATATTATGGTTTTATCAGGATTTTATTCTGGCTCTATATAATAAAAACAGAATTGAACTGAAGCACATTATGACATTTTTAACCCAAAAGGATACTAGACGTCAGAAAGAACATTGACAAACATTATGACCACATAAAACGATGCTTTCATGTGACCTTCTGCAGTAAAGGAAATTACAGACCGTGATATTACGTTTTTTTATGGATTTCGTTAAGCTTGATAATGAGAAACGAAAGAAAAAGCATCATGGGAGAACACTGTGCTCTTAAGGATTATCTGCCACCTCGGGCCAAACGAACAAATTTGCAGAGTTCACATCGTTTCTCAGTTCTCATTGGAACCTGTGTGCACATGCCCAACACTAATCTCCATTCCTGGTATAATGGGAAATAGTAATGTCACATTTTATAAGCAAAGATCAAGTAAATGGAGAGAATGACAGCTGTGTTAAAGACGTGCAGTCAGTCTGCCTCCTGCTTTTATACACTAATTTCGTAACAGACAAATACACCAAACATCTCAGGAATGAAGAGAGAAATTGAAAAATAGAACAGGTTTGATGACTCTCCTAAAAAGCTTCAGGGGCACACTGGGTTGTGAAGTCACATGTAGGAGATTAATTGACTGACATCTCCAACTTCTTTGGCCATTTAAAAACACTGAAATGAGCCTAATGCTGACTAAATCCTAGGACTGATGATGTGGACCGTCAACAAAAGGGCAGAATGTGACCTTTCCAGGGGCTATTTATGAGGCCAACATTAACAAGCAACAAAATTTGTTTTGCCCAGTCAGGGTTTCAAATGTCAGACATGCTGCAGTCTGGATGCCATTTTGATCATTCCATGGACAATCTGAGAAATACCTCCTGGAAGGTGATGCAACAAACAGCAAAAACAGACAATGTGTGCACAACCTGCCCTATATGTAGGTGATGTGCAGGACACAGGAGACAGCAAAAAAGTGATGCCTTCATGAAGACCTAGCAGAGATTCAGCCAATAAAATCTATGCTATTTGCAACTTTTATGCATTTTATTATTGATGCTCAGGAATTTAAGGGAAATTAAATTAAACTTTATGGCTTAAACTTCTGGTCAACCAATCTGCAATAAACTGCAGCAGTCTTTCCTATGAGAAAAACAAATGCCAATACCGTTGTATCATCTTGCACGCAAGACTTCAGAAAATATCCCAAACATGGAAATTACAGGGCGTTTGTCTGATCCTTTAATTTGACTGGACACACAAGCATGTGAGCTGGGATGTCTGTCAAGTATTTTGAGTAAAGAAGTAAAAAGAACACAAAACAAAAACAAAAAATCAGTGGGCAGAGCTGCAGGGAAATTAGTCATCCATGTCAGCCATCTTGGCAGACATCCTATATTTGATGTTGACTGTGAGAACTCCTGAGAGAATAGGAAAGCAAATAAACCATAACAAGACTGTGATAATATACGGACTACAACAACACTGCGGTACATACCCATGGTGGCAGCTCTGTGGTTGGCACACTTTGCTTCACCGCTTTCTCCTCCTGCTGCAGGAACGCTAAGGCACGGTTTATCCTGTAGTCCCCGTTGCCATAGTTCTTCCTCCAGTAGAAAAGCATTGCAAGTCCAATCAGAACCCAGCTAAAGCTGAATTCAAAATATCCCAAGACGTAGATAGGAAATATTAGGGCAAAAGTCTTGGCAAAGTTAATCCACATTTGAGTGACATCTGTCAGGGATGATTGCTGCTCTTCGGCCAGCTCTTCTGGGGACAGAGGGGGGCCCATTGTACTTGTGGGGGTGTTAGGTGCTGCAATGGGCCCATTGGCTTTGGCACCCTCTCCCGCTGGACCGTCCATCTTGTTACTCATTTCCCCTCTGGAAAAACAGTAAATTACAAGAAAATGTTAGTGCTTATTCACACGCTACAGAGGCAGAAGCAGACAAAGCTCCAACTGTTTTTTTACTACAATACTACAAAGAAAAGGCCTTGTGGCTGCAAGATTTCCATCTCCATAAACCAAATTATAAGAGATGAATGGAGACACAGTTATGCCCAAAGGAATAAAACAACTTTAAGCTTGACAGTGTTACATGAAACTGAGAAATGACCCCCTCAAATGAACACCAAGATTGCTATGTAGTCATCTCTTTTAATTAAGAATTGACTTTAGTATTTAAAACTGGATGAGAAATGATGGTGAAAGAAAAGAATCCAGTAATAACAACCACGATTTCTATGTTCAAAAGTAAACACTAGAAGGTTTTCGGACCAAGTATAAAAAAGAGTAACATTTATTTTGATGTAAAGCGCTGGTATATATATATAAAAATGCCCAATTTAGTAGTAATAGGCCTTCTCCAGAGGATCCATGTTGTCTTAATTCCCCTTCAACAAGCAGGCTGTAGTAGCCTGGATGCAAATTACAGAAAAATACATTAAAGCTGCAAACTAATCCCCGTTAAACAAATCTGTACAAGACAAGAAAAACTTCTTCTTGGCCTGCAGTGTAAATCAATACAGACTACAGGCTAAGCTGTCGTTTATCTTTTTCTCTTGCACAAAACTCCCTTACAAAAATGCCATTTTTTTGTCTCTGAGGAACAGGGGGAGAGTACGCTTTAGATAGAAACGAATTCATTACATGTGACAAAACAATTAGAGTCACTCTTTAATTCGGCATATATTCATTGCATCCCCTCGCATTTCTACGGGAGTACTTCAACTTCGAAAAGTGCCTCACCCGTCCTCGCTTCAGCCTTGCGCTGCCAAAACACAGTGCAGTGGCTAGCACCGACAAGTGTGAAGGCGTCATTAAAGTACACTCTTTACTGCTAAATGTGTTATTTTATGTGGCTATATGCGAGCCGAATAAAAGAGCATCAATGATTAAATCAGAGTGTAGTTACACGATTCATAAAAACGTACATAACTTGACTGTTAAATAGTGCAAGTCTTAAACCCTCATTTCTTAGATGGAGTCTGACGCCCCAGAGTGACACGTATTAGGGCTAGGACTTCACCTACCAGTAATACGTGCATCAAACACCAACCGAAAAACAACTTCTTTTTCTTCCCTTACCGCCAAGGAAGCGTCACACTCACCGGTATCCACCTGCGACATTCGCTGCTCCTTGAAAAATGAACTAATAATCACTTTGTCAGCTTCGTCCACTGCATGCCGAGCAGCTCAACTCTTTCTAACCCTGCTCCCCGTCAGCACATCCTACTGTGAGGGCGAGCAGTCCGCCTCAGCAAGCCTGCAGGAAACTGTCATCGCGGGAAAGAGGTCAGCCTCCTTCAGGGAGGGAGCTTCAAACCGCACAGCACAGCAGCAGACACGGGTGCCACCCGGTGGCGGAAAATCCACCACAGACATCGAAAGAAAACTAGTTTTAAATGATAAGATTCAAGTTTAGAAAATAAAATTTAAAACAGATTTAGTTTAGCATGTTGATCTGACTATTTTACTTTCTCTATTTTTATAAATACAGTGCTCACAGATAAAGTGATGCGATTTTTTGTCAGTTCAACGCTGGTTTATCGTTGTATATAGAGAAAAGTGATTGTATAAAATTGTGACTATTAAAGTGTCACATGCCTAATCTAGATTTAAAGCCAACTCATATATTCAATCATCAGGTATAACGTTACGTGGCTGCAAGGAGGAGAAAACTGAAAAGGCAACTAAAAGGTGCCGACAACGCCACCTGGGGGTGGGGTTCACCCCAGGAAATATTAGATTAACCAGTGCAAAAGTTTTTGCGAAGGCACACAGGTTTGTTATTGACAAAGACAGAGGCGCAGCAATCACTCATTTATTAAACAAAATAACTGAAAATTAAGTGGCAGACTACAAGACATTTAATTAAAACACCAGATATTGCTTAAAAACAACAAAATTCATTGATTAATGCAGTTAAAGACAGGCAACTCGCAGAGGCCAGGGAGGAGTGCCCAAGGGGTGCTACCAGATACCCGAGATTCGCACTGCAGTTCTCGCTGCAACTTAAATGGGGTTTTATGCTCATATTCCGGTGTTTACCCTCAAATGCATAAGAGGAAACCTCACCAAAAGTGCTTAATCTCCCCCAACATACTGCAGACAAAACCCTTCTTGAGTTTCCTAGACTTAGTACCAGTCAGCTCAGCTATTAAGCAATGCAAAGGAGCAGCCAACTAGGCAAATCTTTCAACAAAACAGCAATAGTAGCTTGCAGAGCCAAAGAAGGAACTCAAATCCACTTAGAAACGGTTTCTATTTTATTAGTGTCTGTAGGCACACACAAATAGCTTGAAAAAAGGAACACTGTTCCAACTTTACTTTGAGACCTTCTTACTGAAGATGGCCCAGAACAACTCACATGCTCCTCCACTGTAGAAAGAACACAATGACATCATCCAAGTAGAGCAGTAATGACTGCTGGTCCCCAAATATGCTGTCCCTTAATTTCTGAAATGTACTCGGGGCATTACACAACTTAAAAGGGCATTATAGACTATGTGCGCGTTAGCATATGCTACTTCCGGTGTGGGGAGCTTTGTTTCCGGTGTCCTATTCGCGCCTTGTTTACGGTCCAGAACAAGTTAAGCAAATGAATGAATGAATGTCTGGGGCATTTACCCAATATACCTGTAAATGATTTTCTTCGACTTGTCGATATTTTTCCCCTGCGCCTCAGAGCAAAAGAGAAAAGGGATTCAAATTTTATATTTCTCAGTATCTGTAAACAGCGGCCCCTCGTTTATCGCGGGTGTTATGTTCTAAAAATAACCAGCGATAGGTGAAATCAAGTAGCCAATTTTATTTTTTGACTGTGCAAAGCGTTTCGTGGACATCGTGGACATACAGTACTGCACTTCAGAGTCACACTGCCATGCAGCGATTCTGTACTGTACAGGAGAGACATCACGGAGGAGCAGCGATCAGGACGCAGGACACAATGTGATGTAAAAAAAGGCATGCGAACTTGCACTAAAAAAATCTGCGAAACAGTGAGGTGAAAGGTGAACCGCGAGGGACCACTGTAGTTTTGAAGGTAAGTCACAACATACCCTTCATAAATGCTAATGTATAGGAACCCTTACCAGCAATCATTAACTTTTTGTGTGCTTTTTTTCACGGTTTGTTAACATGCTGTGTGGGTGTATACCTGACTAGCTGATATCGACATAAAGGGGAAACATCTGGTTTGACTATTCTTCACCAGTAGTTTGAATGCTGAACATTTGCCTGTTTAAATCACAAGACCAGTCACTATACAGAGATGTGCTTCTGAATGTGGACGATGTGTCTTCTGCTGCAGTGATGCAGTTCTGCTTGTGTTGAGTGATGTAAACAACTGATCGATCTAAACGCTTTAAACGTCAAAATTGATCATTAGATTTTTTATGACACAACAGTGGTGAGTGTTCCCACCTTCTGCTCTTTGTAACTTAACGCGATCTTTCCGTTTTCGAGTTTTAGACATGATTTTGGAGTATAGCTTCGCAGTAGCGATTGACCGCCAAGTAAAGCTACCGGAAATGTACAACCCTACATCTGGTCTCAAACCAGGAAGTTAGCATTTTCTCGTGCACAGGGTCTATTCCACTCAAACAACCTAAATGGAATACAGAAGGGGACTTGGCTATAACCTGCTGCAAGGTCCAAAGTTGAAAACCAGATGACACCTGACAAAGCATCAAGGGACTTGTCAATACTGGGTAAGGGGAAGGCATCCTTGTGGGATACCCCCTAGTGTCAGAATACACAATGCATCGTAGTTTGTTGTGTATGGAGCATAGCCGTGGACCAGTCAGGGTGCCCATGCTGATCCCCGTCCACAGACCAAAGTGCCACAATGATGTGAGCATGTCAGAACTGGAACACAGAGCAAAGGAAGAAGGTCTGGTTTGACCTTTTTTTTATACCACGTGGATGGTGGTGTGTGTTCTTTACTGAGGAACATCTGAGACTATGATTTACTATGTAAACCAGAGGAGACAGTGTAGAGATACAGAAATTCTTTTATTGCTGCCATATAATCTGCATCATTGTAATTGCATTAATAACATTCTTTACAGCATTATTTCATCTAATAATATTTCTCACAGTATTGATACTGCATTACAGTTGTTTATTGAAGATGTCCATTTGAGGATCCTTCCATTATGTTAACTTTTATTACAAGTACGGTTAGAAGTATTTTATACACATTGCATATCTGTGCTTATTTTTAGTTGATGTTCAGTTCATTAAGGGTCTTAAGCTTCACTGGCGTGACTGTCCAGGTGATACATGCTGAGGGAGACTAGAACATAGAAGGATAACTGCAATGCATGCTTACAACACATATAATACATATAATCTAGGAATGTATCCGGCCTGAGGCCTTAACTCATTTGTTGTCTTACTATATTTTATTCTACTTGATAACAGATGATCAATAATTAGCCTCAGAGACCCTGAGGGCTTGAAGTTTATTACCTGTATGGAAGGTGTTATAGAAAAGAGAAGTTCTATGTCTGCTTATAGCTATTAAAAATCTACGATTAACTGTGACTAATGTCTGGAACCTATTTTAATCTGTCATTGACGCCATGGGGGGGGCGTGTAGCCCACTGCTTTATAAGTATCCACAACATGTATTTTGGTCAGAAGACATATGTTGATGTTTTCTCCGGGCTGTTAATAAACTCAACGTTTGATTGCACTTTTCTGGGGCCTCCGTGGTTTGTGACACTGCTCTGCATTGATCGATTTCGCGACAACAGTGTGATGCTTCAGGCAATGTTCTCATGGGAAACCTTGGGTCATTCCATCCATGTGGATGTTCTACTTGAATTATACTTCAAAGGTCTACGTTATAACTTACTGAAACACTATTTTAACACTTCAGCCTTCTAGTAACCTGACTGTGAAATGATCATGGACCCACACAGTGTTCAATTGTCAGTTGCAGTTCTTTTATTTTGACCCACAGCGTTTCCCACTGCTTCGACACCTTGTGTTCAACCGGGAAGCCAGCTTTCCAGGTATACCCCCCACACCACACACACTGCTCCTTCCCAACTCCAGACACTAAAAGGGGGAGAGCTCATTCATTACAATCCCTCTCACCCATGTCACCTAAAAGGTAAACCTGTTTCTCCATCACCTGTTCAGCTCTGATGATTCAGTAAGGACATCTCCTGGTTTCATCTGCATGTTTCCCTCTCACCAGATATCATGACCAGCAGGTTTTACAGCTGTGGCTCCAGCAAACATCAGCTACTAGAAAGAAATATTAAATAAATTCTAACAACAGCTGATCAAGCTTAAACGTGCTGCTGTTGTTTAGCGCGACATCCAGCGGTTTCCTCTTTCTGGCGCAAAGTGAGCGATAAACAAACAAGAGAGAAAAGCTGATCAGCTTATGATTGATCAGTTTCATGATTGAAGTAGCAACAGGAGAGAGAGGAGAAAGAATGAGAGAAAAGGCAGCTGTGCAGTGTAACAGAATAAATCCACCTTTGTGTCTTTTTCCATCCTAGCTGAAGTACGGAACAAACTGCGTCCCTTTTCAGCTCAACACCAAACGCGTAATATTTTCTCTGAATACGAGACAATTCCGTCTTTTTACAGGACGGTTGGCAACTCTATTAACTAACCTTATGAATTAAATAAAGTTCACTATTAGTAACATCATAGCACCCACCCAGCTGTATAGACACTCCGTCATGCTAGCTAGTATGCAGTATGAGTTATTGTAACTGACTGTAAAAAGTCAGCACAAGGAAAACAAACTCCACCTAAACTTGGTTTATATCTGACCCAGATACACTGCAGGTCATAACTTCTTACCTGAAGTTCAGTTCACCTGACACTCGGACCTGCGGCCACCGAGCAAATGCCCGGTATGCCCAATGGCCAGTCCAGCTATGCTCGTGCCATCACTTGACCCTTCGCATGCCCAGGATTGCCGACCCCTGTTGTAGATAATCATTTATACGGCTATGGATGCAATCAGACAGCATGGTACTATTTAATAACTGTATATATCCACAAGACCATTGGACTTCCTTATAAGACAACCTTTCCCTTTGATGACATCAAACGAACACTACGGTAATAGAAAATGGATTTAGACGCTTTCAAAATGATCAAGATAACTGCATTATTTACAATCATTAATGGCATGATGGCAGTGAAGAGAACATGAACACTAAACTTCCTTAGGGTGGTGAGAAGGATGAAGAGCGTTACGAAGTGTTACAAGTGTTACAAAGCTGAGATAGCATTTTTAAGCTTTTTATGCCATGAGAATCATAGATATGTAAATAAAAATTAAATAAATAATGCACTCTGAAACTTGATATTCCAAGCAAAAATCTGGTGTCTGGTGTTGCAGACTTATACCACAAGGCATATTGTTGACACTCTTTGTTTTGGTTTCTCTTCCAGGGCCAATTTGGCTGGGCGCACCAATCAGGTGTAAATTGCCCACAACAATATGGTTCCTGGGATTATCCAGGTGCATAAAGGTCTCCCCTACAATAAGGTGGAAATTCATCAAACTGATTGGCATCCTTGTGCCTTAGGATTACCTTGTTGTCAGTGGTGTCACTGCTTAGACTGCTGCTCACACAATGGATGTATCGATGGATGAATTTTAAAATATCTTTGTGTTAATCCATAAAAAATAGAAAAACATAACAATTTTGTTTGCTATCTGAACCATTAAGATGTCTTTTTCCAGTATTCCAACTTCGAGATAAGCACAAGTGATCTAAAAAAATGTATTTAGTCACCCTAACCTTTGCATGGAAGCAAACACAATTTCCATAATAAAAGGATGTAAACTATGTTTTCTCTTGTAATTCATTCATATATTTTTGTATGTATTTTTTTTCCTATGAACCAGATGCGACACTAAAATAGCAGATGTGCTCATCTTCCAGCAGGCAATCCCTTATAGTAATCTTATAGTCTAAACCCATGTTAACCATCACTAGTCAGCATTATTTAGAGCAGGTAAGAAAACTGCCCAGATACATGAAGATAGTTTTAGCAGCATTATGAGGTGTAGTGGAAGAAATGTACCTGTACAGTTCATCCTGCTCTCAGTGCCTACTACAGCAGACAGAAACCATTTCTCCACTAGAGGTCATGAAAGTGTTGTAAACTGAAGCATCACAGCTACTGTAGAGACACGTGTAGACAATCTGGTATCAGGTGATAAAAAGTTAAATTCACTTTTTTTTCTTATCTTAAGAATTAGCATTTTTCAGTGTCAATCTTCAGTTAGTGCAATTTCCAGATTATCCTACAACACAAGTTAGAAAAGAAAATCATAAAGTTAAATAAAAATGTATTGTTGTCATGTCATTTACTAAAAACAAACTACTCAACATGGGAAATCAGCTTATTAAAGAAAGCTTATTAAAAAAAGATACATATCATACATAGATTTTGTAAAGAAAAAAAAAAGAAAGAAAAGAAAAGAAAGAAAAGTGGGAACAATCTTCAGCTCCTGCCATCCTTATCTAGTGTTCCTGAAAATGATTAGTTTAAATGTTTATGGTAAATGGACTGGTTCTTATATACCAGTCCATTTCTTATATCAGAAGAGCTTTTCTACTCTTCTGAGCACTCAAAGTGCTTTATACAACTTGTGCATTCACCCAAGAACATTTTCTAACTAACATTCACACACAGATTTATACTCTGATGGATGTATCGAAGAGCAATTTGGGGTTAGTATCTTGCCCAAGGATATTTGGCCAAGATACCAGAGAGCCAAGAATCAAACCACCAACCTTCCGATCAGTAGACGACCTGCTCTACTGTCTGAGCTACAGCCACCCCAGACATGAACTGTCCTGGTTGACATGCCTCTGCAATGTTGCGTGGAGATCAGGGGCAGTACCTGTGGAACATTTAACATGAAACAGTAAAACCAGGTTGGAGGACATTCCATAAAGTTGGGTCTGCATATGATTGTGTTTTGAGTATAATATAAAACAAACAAACAAACACCCCACTCGCGCTGTGGGGAGTCTTTGTCCTTCAAGCTGAGGTCCTTTGTAAGAGGTCAGGGAGCTTGAGGGTTGCTAGATCTCCTGTTCCTACGACTGCGCTCTTCACAAAGGATGCACAAAGATCTTGGCTGTCGTTTCTGGAATCTGCTGGATCCCAGGAATCCAGGGGCAGGTCTGACTCCCCAAGTGCTCTGATAACCACAACGACCACTTTTAACTTCAATCTCCACATCTTCTCTGACTCCTCTTTCAGCCCTTGGTGTTTCTTGAACTTCTCGTGTTCCTTCTTCCTGATGTTGCTGTCACTCTCTATAGCTACATCTATCACTATAACCTTCTTCCTTTGTTTGTCTCTGCTTGTATGTATATAAACCAGAAATATATACTATATACTATACTATATATATTTAAACCATGGTTAGCTATTGCCCATCCATCTGTAACTGGAAGTGTGTGTGTGTGTGTGTGTGTGTGTGTGTGTGTGTGTAGCATTAAATGAGAAAAGGTTTAAATGTCATCTAATTTCTATTAACTAAGAACTGCTCATCCCAAAAAGTCTGTTAAATCAGTCAGAGAAATACGAACAAAATCTCATTTAATCTCTCACATTAATGTAATACAGGCCCAACATTTATGTTGCATTCATAATTCGTAATGAATAAATCAATTATTTCTTGATTATATGGCATTAATGATATATACATTATTAAGGTGTATTAAATTATGCATGACAGTCATAAAGTCCAGTGGGAGAGACGTGAAGAAGGAGAAAGAACATGTAAATGCAGCAGGATAAACAAACAGAAAGAAGTGGGTTTTAATTAGACGTTCCATTTACTCACAAGTGTAGGTGTTTGTGTCTGCAGGGACATTAGAGGAGATTAAAAAAAGTTTAAAAAAAAGTAATAAGAATAAAGAAACAATATGTAAATGCTCAGAAAGTAGCAAAGGTTAGTAAATAGATATAAATAAAGAAAAGGAAAGAAAAGAAATATCAACAAAATAAGTTTTCTCTTTTATCGTAGAGAGAAATATAAATGAAAGATACTGTTGATGTGATTTGGCACCATATAAATAAAACTGAACTGAACTGAATCACATTTGGCTGAAACAAAAGGATATTTTTGAATAAGGTGTAGGTAAGCTGAATGTGAGTGACACTTTTTACAAAACGTCAACCCAGAGGTGACGCAGATCCACAGACTATCGCTATTCTTTGACAATGTCATGCTCTGGTGTCTTTTTCAGGACTGGGCATAATTCGTGATTACCTGAAATTGTCCCCACCACTAATCTGATATCAATACATGAGTTTATATATTTATTACAAAGTCTCTGAGTCCAACCTCTCTCAGCCAATATTGGTAATGAGATTAGTTTTGCCACTGGGCTGTAACTAGATCTGACAACTTGATGTGCATGTTGGCCAAGTGAACATCCTTATTATAGGCAGTATACACGCACCTAGTCTTGGGCTTGTTTTCAAGCCTCAGAAGAACAACCCACATAAGTGTTTTTCCATCAGAAGGTTAATGATACACTATCCTGAGTTTTCTGTCGACATTTTATGACCTCCACTGTTTTCTTATAACGAAATCCATATAAATAAAATAGATTATGTTGTGTCTCACAGTCCATCTCCCACGTGCACTCTGATGCTTGGATACCTCAGCAAAGACCCCTTTTAGTTTGGGTCAAGATCCACTCTTCAGTTTAGGTCACTGCAGACCAAAGTAAACTGAGACATTACAACGAGCATTTTTCGTTCCATGAAAAAAAGGTATATATGCCGTTATTGTCATTATTCTCATTTCATTTTCTCGACTGCTGCCGGAGTGATGGCAGACACGGATGATGAAAACGAGGCAGAACAATGTGCTTCTCAAAATGAAGGTGGGAAACAAGCAATTTGCAACTCCACTGCAGCAAAGCAATACACATCCTGTTTGTGTGCACCGTTCAGGTTCGGAGAAAGAAAAGTGGTAAGAGGCAGGAAAGGAGCTCAAGCTCAAAGCCAAGTTCCCCTTGAGAAAAAATAGGTACTGCAGAAATAGTCTGTTTTTAATAACAATACTAAAGATGGCAGGATTTCTTGGTGAATTTCAAAAACATCATTTATTTAAGATTGGGTTAAGTTTAAAGTTAGCTTTAGGTAGCAGTCCACACGCACAGAATATTTTCTATGAATAATTGCTGTGCGACCTTTTGGTTGGATCAATAAGGTCTTCTTTTTTTTGCCTGTCCCGTTTGGCTCCTTTGCCATCAGAATTATTGTCTAAAGGTGAAGAAAGATGCCCAACGGATTTACTTTACCAAATGGACCATCCCAGCCTTGCTGTAATGGTCTATTTGATTCACCTTTTGTTTATTTTATTTTCACTTGCTAAATACGGGACAGACTTGACTGGGGAAAAGAAAGAGGGAAAGAAAAACAGCGGGGAAGAGGGACGGGGATAAAGGGCAAAAAACAACAAAATAAGCAGACAAAAAATACATCTATCAATCACCTGGTCTTCTTATTGTAAGCAAGTCCAGACCCGGATTTGAACCCTCGATATGCTCTGCCAAACACAGCGATATTACCACTGTATTATCAGCACAAAAAAGGAATACGAATAAAAATGTTTGTGACCCAACAAGAATTCATGATCGTGTGGCAGTTCTTAATTAAAGAAAAGAACAGTAGGAGAACAGCAGCAGCATGTGACCTTTTTCTTCCTATGAAGATTTTTCCATTTTGGTCCAACGCTGCCAAAAAAAAAAGAAAAAAAAAAGCTTTCTTAAAGGTTAAGGAATAATTGCTGTTATGGTTAAAAGAAACAAAATATTGGTTGTTGGAAGGAGATGGTAAATTATCAAAGGTCTCCAGAGTTGTTTTCTTTCTGCCTACATTCTTGTGTTATAAAACTGTCACAGAGCCTGTTCCTCTACTCTTGCAGGAACCATAATTCCTTTCTCTGGTACAGAGTTTTATCGCTTGAAACATAAACACGTGATTGGGAATTTGCTGAAAGCAGTGCCTGGAGGCTGAAGCATTATGTTGACTTGGTAGATACCTGTGTCTGGGTGTTTGGGCGTATGGAGCGTTGGACACTGTTATCTCCAAGAATAGTGCTACATGTTATTGTTTGGCAGTGCTTGCACAAAATTTCTAATTTTGGAAACTGTTCCATTAGCTTGAAGGGAAAAATGTGTTTTTCTTTCTTATTTTTAAGCCTTCATCTCACACATACAGAATATATATCATTGCATTTAAATGCAAAACCGGTGTCTGTTTTCAGATAACAACCCTCTGTGCTGTTTTCAGTAATGAGAAAATTATGCACACTCCAAACCAGATTGCACATTCACGCGCTCTGTGAACTCACACAGAAAACTAATGCATGTAAGCTCTGTGTCCCTATGTAACACTGGGTCAGACCTCCTTTTGCCTTCAGAACGGCCTCGTTTTTTTGTGTGCCATAGATTCAATAAGATGCTGGAAACATTCCTCAGAATTTTTGGTCCATATGGATATGATGACTTCACGCAGTTACTGCAGACTTGTTGGCTGTACATGTATGATGTGAATCTGTTCCATCAGCTCCCAAAGGTGCTTTATTAGACTGAGATCTGCTGACTGAGGAGGCTATTTGAGCACAGTGAACTCCTTGTTGAATTCAAGAAACTAGTTAGTAGATGATTTGATGTGATACAGTGGAATGCAGGTAGTGGGTCATAACAGATAAGCATGGCTGTTCATGAATTTAAAACTTCTGATTTATGAAGTTTTGTC